GATGGGAGGGGTAGGGCATGAGGGGGAGGGATAGGTCGAGAGAGATCTAGGGACTAGGGCAAGTTTGGGGGCTTCACGAATTTTGGCGGTATGATGGATTATTTCCGACAACTTATAAAAAACTTCAAATCCGCCGGTTATCAACATTAATACCGATGACATTAATCGTCAGTTACTAGACAAATTCATCAATTAATGCTCCACCAAATGATTGGTTTGTAATAACTGACGATATATGACTCTCGGTTATTATGTGCTTATAACCGACAAGCAATGCATCAGTTATAATAAAAACCGTTGGAAAATAATCTACTATTCGTAATAGACGATATATTTTGTTGTTATGCCTTTAGAAATAACTCTACACATAATACGTCGTAACACTATAAAAAAATAGGACATATTTATCGACAACAATTTAAATCATTGGTTTTGCTGTCAATTATAGCGCTTTTTCTTGTAGTGATTTTCATCCATGAATAATTTTTCTTTGTGATATAAGTAGAGAAGACTACAATGCATAATTGTAGTATATGACTCTAGAAGCACCAGCAGTTCTCAAACTCATATTTATTAAAAAATAAAAACCACAAACATAGAATTAACTTAACTTGATAATACAACAACAAAATATATAATAAAGTAACTAATAAGAATAATAGAAGTACATATATAAAAATTTATAAGAACAAGGTCTCAGAGCAAATATAAACTAATGAATAATTTGTCATTATAAGAAGACATAATACCTTAAAAAAATGATGTCCATTCAAAAGCTTAAGTTAGGGCAGAGAGCTTCGCTCAATAGGGTACAATGTAATGAGAGTAGTAGATAGACATGGGGCAATGTGAGTAATATCCTACAGATCGTGGGTGTTAACTCGCAGTGGGATATAATGTGCAAAACATGCTGCATTTAATAAAATGTTGTGAAAATGATTCTTCAAACAACAAAAATAGCAGTGGCGAGCCAAGCCACTGTGGCTCCACTATCCCAAAAGAATAGCAAGAATACAAAAAATAGACGTCATTTGATCCCTCCAGTTATCTCATTTAAATTTTAATTATACTCCTAAGTAATTGATTTAGGACCATTTGTACTCAAATTAAGGTTTTTTGGTTAATCAACGGTCTTAAAAAAAAAACATATTTTACTGCACACACACTCTCTATTCTTCTTTTACGCTTTATTCCTTAGGTGTGATTCATATAACAGTTTCATATTCATCATATATGAACCAAAACAACTTGCTCGCTTTGCTTGATTTTAATCCATCACTCATTTGATCCAATCCAATTCGATTTGAGTTAAGCCAACTATGCTCTGATTTTGTGGGCGTTAATGAAAAAAGTCATTCCTTTTTAAAATCATTTGCTCAGCCCCTGACAAATGGAACCAACATAAAATAAAAAATGATTGTAAATTAAAATTTTCACAAATAACCTCCACCCTTGAAATGCAATATTCACAGTGAAGATTTTTCAATAAATTTGACAATTGGATATCTTGACTGTTTAAGCGCGGGCCAGAGCGAGTGGATTTGGTCGCCCCATTAGACCGGGCGGCTCAAGAATTTGTAGTCAGACCGGAGCTTATGAACCGGAGATCGCACGTGCGAAGAAACCGCCTTTAGACCTAACATTCATCTCCCTTTTTCTCTTCCAGTCCGGATACCCAGTCTCCCACTCTTATAAGAAAAAGGAAGAATCTCTTCGCATTTCTCCTCCCATTGTTTCTGCCCGCAGACTCTTCTCTCTCTTCTCTCTCGCTGAAGGAGAGGGAGGCTAAGAGGGGAAGCTAGAGAGGAGAGAGAGAGAGAGAGAGACTGAGTGAGTGAGAGAGAGGGAGGGAGGATGAGGATTCTGAGAGAGAGAGAGAGAGAGAGAGAGAGGGAGGGAGGATGAGGATTCTTGAAAGAGGTAACTGTCGTAGAGAGGCCGAGAGGGTGGCGTTTTTATACCGCCGAATATGTCCTTAACTGAAGAGACGAGATAAATCCCTTCTTGCGCATCGTTCTGCTTCTTTGCGTGATTCATACGGTGTATCATCGCCTCCCTCTCTCCATCTCTCAGGCCTGGTCAGTTACTCTTTCAGCCCTCCAGGCGTGAGGTAAGTCCAAGGTTTTTTCTCTCTTGTTTGAATCTCACTGGTGTCGGCAAGGCGGAATGGGAGGCGACTCGGCATTACCGGGGGCAACTGGAGCCGCCGGTGTCCCGGCTTCGTATTGGTTCGACGCCATGGAGGACGTAGACGCCCTCTCAGGCATCGAATTCCCCGACTTTGACTCTTCTGCGCTTCCTTTGTCACTCGATCAGCACGTAGGGGACGATGGCTTCATTGTGGAGATCGACCGAATCTTGCAAAGCATTAACGGAGATCAGCTTGTCACTCTGCCTCCTCCGGAAGCTACTGTGCAGGCTCTAATGCCTTCTTCATTGCTCGAGGACATCCCTGTGGACTGCTGCAAGCCGGAGGATCAACCAGGTATTAGGGAGAATAGCTCAGTCTTGGTGAGAAGGGATCCAGGGGCACGGCCGGAACTCAATGATGGGAATGTGGTTAATGGCGACGGTAGATTTGGGAAGAGAGCTCGAGTAGTCAGTTATCGGGCGGAGGAGAGAAGCTACTCAACTGCCCGACACGGCAGGTACAGGGAGTCGCCACTCTGCCGGCGTTCGTTCCACGACAGGGATGAGAGGAAGCGGCGGGAAGGCGAGCGCGGAAGGAAAAGGGACCGGGATGGCGGTGATTTCAGGGACAGAGAGTGGAGGGAGAGAGATAGCAAAGGTTACTGGGAGAGGGACCATAGGTCAGGTAGACTGGTATTTAGGGCTGGCTCTTGGGAGGCCGAAGCCAGCCGGGAGACGAAAAAGGTCAAGTATGACAGTGTGGAGCAGGTTAGGGGAAGCCTTGAGAAGAGGGATGAAGAGAAGGATAAGCCTGCTGAGGAACAGGCAAGGCAGTATCAACTTGAAGTTCTTGAACAGGCCAAGAAGAAAAATACGATTGCTTTTCTGGAGACTGGAGCAGGTAAGACCCTTATTGCGGTTCTACTCATGAAGAGTTTGTGTGATGAGATGATGAAGGAGAACAAGAAAATGTTGGCCATCTTCCTCGTGCCCAAGGTTCCACTTGTTTACCAGGTAAAAGGATCAGCTTTCTTTGGAAAATCTTGTTTATTTGAATTTAAATCTGCCATGCATTATGTGGAGAACGATTGCAGCAAGCGGATGTGATTCGAAAGAGGACTAATTTTAGTGTGGGGCATTACTGTGGGGAGATGGGACAAGATTTCTGGGATTCTCGGAAATGGCACCGCGAGTTTGAATCAACGCAGGTGAATCTCATCTTTAGATTTTATGAAAGCGGTAGTTTTAATCGCCTTGTTAATAAAATGTTCATGGATTCTATTTTTGCTCCCCTTTGCAATTTATGTACTATATATCTTTTCTTTACATCAGCTCTCTATCACGTTTCTATTTTTCAGAGAGTAAGAAAATGCCATTTCATTCTTTATAGTTTCAGAACAGGTTTCAATCAGCAGTAGTTTTTGGGTGGATGAGCAATCAAGAAAATTTGAATTGGATATCTTTTTTTTTGTTTTATTTTGTAGTATTCGTTTTCTTCATAGATGTGTAGTTTTTTTTGGCACTTTCTATGCATTATATACATGTTGGTATGATTTCATAAGCTCTGAGTGTAATCATGTCTTTCACTGAGCATTCTTACAGGCTCTGTTTGGAGCTCCTATGTTGTTGAGTATAGAGGATAATTTTTGATAATATTATCGTCCAATTAGCTGTAACTGTTGTAAATGTTTGGTAAAATATTTTTGCCACACTGATTTGAGTGATTAAATGATTGACGTTTATATTATTATGAATTTAATATCATTACAATATGATAAATTAATCTTAATTAGTGTATAATTGATTAAATTTCTTTATTTGTTAAATAGAATAAGTAAAATTCATAAAATCACTTTTATATGAAGTTAAACAGCTTCCGAATGGTTGCTCCTACCTTGGATATGAGGATTTTAGTCATTCAGGATTAAGAGAAAATTAACACTGAGAAATAATTGTACAGGATGCACTCTATGGTGCGGTAGAACAATGCACAGCTAGGGAAAAAACAGGCAAACAGATTGAAGTTGTTTAATTTTGTGACTTACGACCATTCTGTTGGGTAAGTATTCTCTATATGAAAAGAAAGAATAAAAAGTGATCTTCTCTTTTTGAATATAAGGGCTTACAAGAGGATTGTATGCATGATTGTAGTTGTAGGTGTCCCCCAAGATGCTTGCCTATGCTATTTATTTGGCTCCTCTTCTATGTGTAATGTCTTCTTTCAGTGACATCTAAGCCTCTTCATGTTTCAATGACTTTAAATATTTATCCTTCTGATTCTTGTTGAAGGATCTGTAATGAGTGAGTGTTATTAAGCGATTTCGTGTTTTCGATAGGATTATTGATAGAGAATTTTTGAGAATACTCCCAAGAACTTTACCTGAGAAGAGTTGTTCTTGAAATTGAAATACCTGAATGATAATTAATGCTTTAGTGATGTCTTACCCTTCCACCCATATGGCTGGAATTTCTTTTGATATTTCAGAGAGTTTTAATGGCCACACTTTTGTAATGATAGGGCTTCAAAACATGATTCTAATCTTTGAAATCTTTGATTTTTTATTTTTTAATAAAATATTTGGTTATTCCTTCAGTAATATAAAGTACTCAAGATGATATCCTTTTTGAATATTTGATCATATTTGAGTAAGAGGGCATGAAGGGATGCTAATGAGGCTGTTGATGATGCCTCCAAGTCTAGATTCTGTGGTTTGTAATGTTGATGATTAAGATGAAGACATGCACTGGATGATTGTTTCTTTGTGCCAGTTTGGCATAAAACAATCTTTAATTTGGAGGACCCTATATACTTAAGAACGCTGATGAGATTAGGGTTTTTGAGGAAACTGTTGAGGAAGACATTTTCTAGGATTTTTTCTCTTCTAGTTATGACCCTTTCATTCATGCATTTAAACCAATTGTAAAAGATGATGAGTATGCAGATGATAAAGATGAAGGGAATATTGTTGCTGCTCTTCCATCTGAGAAAGATATTAATAGAATGAATGCTAAATCGTTTGCTTTGTTGCTGAAGAAATATAATAGTATTTTGGAGTGGCACTATTGAATTGAACCTTTTTTAGTTCAAGTAGTTTGTTGAGCCTATCATTTTACATAACCTAAAGGAGGTTTCAAATTGTGTTGTATTTGTAGCACTTGAGATTGCAGATTTGCTATTTGTTTGACTATTTGAGTTTCTCTTATGACAACTATTGCTAATATTATTCATAGGTTGGATGAATTAAATTAGGCACTGGATCTCTAAAGTAATATAATGCACTCTTTAGATAGAAGATTAATGATCCCAGATGCTTGTCTTGGAAATGTCAAACAGCTCTTTGTTGTCAACACTAGACTGAATGGTTTGAATTGGTATTTTGATGATTACATTAGGAGATCGAGCCAATTTGAAAGCAAGCTTTTATTGAAGGTTCTAAAGTAGCTTGATTTACTTGGAGATGTGTATATACATTATGACTTCTAGACTCTTAACATTATAGCGTTTTGCCCATTGGCCAAACATAATGTGCATGTCAAGTCAAGAGTGAGAGATGGAACATATTCCACTGGTGATTAGAGAGAGATAGAGGAGGTGATTAAGGAAGAAGGCATTTTTATTGGCCACATGACTTTAAAGAATCTAACACATGTTGAAATGGAGATTAAGATAAATTAGTGTCAAAATTCTTTGTGGGACGTACCACTAATTGTGCCTTATTGGATCAATTCTTGAACTAACTCTCATTATTTAAATAGTCAATCTTCTCGAGCTTAGTTGTTGTTGCTATTTTTTTTTTTTTTTTTTTGAGAGGTAAGAACCTTGTTTAAATAGAATTTTAGGCGTTTTCTTCGAAACATGTCCCACTATGAGACACCTAATAATCATTTTGAGGATTATAATTTTCTAGTTTGAATGAGGCTTATGGTTTTCTTATGAGGCACATAGCTTGAGGCGAATGTGGCAAATTTCTTATATTAAATTTTAATTAAAACACACACTTATAAGTTATAAATAAGAGATTTATTTTTAGGTTTGGAATTAGAGTTTTGGTGATAAGGGGTTCAAGTGCTTTGTATTTTTTTCCTTTTAAATATTTATTTTATTTTTTGACTAAAATTTTTTTAACTTTTAATCGTTTCGTTTTTTTTTTGAGTTTTTTAAATTTTCTTATAAATGTTTTAAAAAAATTAGCATATTTATTTTGATTTTCTTAATTTGATTCCTTTTATTTTTTTAAATATTTTTTCATTTTTAATTATTTTTATTTTTTTAAATATTTTATCTTTTTAATTAATTTTTCTTTTGTTTTAATTGGTTTTTTTTTATTTTTTTAGGTTATATGTTTTTTAATTTTATTTTTAATTATTTTAATGTGATTCTCCTTAATTTTTAGTTTGAGACTTAGGCCTTATTCTAGTTTGAGGCTTATGCCTCACCTTAATAAGGAAAACATTTTTATTTGTGATTTTGCTTTTTTAAATTTTCGTCAAGAGGTCTAATCTTTTGTGGGGTACTCTGATTTCCACAAATTCTTTGTCACATATATATCTTGCAATAATTCTCCATGTTATGTAGATGTTTTTTTTTTTTAATACTTTATTTCCTTGCTTTAGGTCTTTAGATGAAATTAACTTCACTGAGAGATTTATCATATTCTGTGACTTTATTTGAGATCTAGTGAACCTGAACATACAATATCTCATCTTCTTTGGGTGCATTTGGGGCGACAGTGCGTGCAACACCACAATTTTTAATGTTTGACAAAACTGTGTTTTGCCTCCATTCTCAAAAAGTTGTAGCTAAAAAATGCTTTTTCCACCGGCCCTAGCTACCTGTGGTGGCTTCTAGAAAGTTGCGGTTTGACTATTTTTTTTAAAATTTTGTAATAGCCACTGCTGTTTTTTGAACAGCAACTTCTACTTTATCCGCTGCACAGTTACTTCTATAAACAACTGCAGTTGTCCTGGCCCAAACAAACCCTTCCTCTCATTCTACTTGATACAATATAAATTAAGATATTTTTAGCAGCCCTTTCATGTGAAGACTTGCGCCAATAATAAGTAACGGTTACAAAGATTTTACACTAGATAGCATTTGAGACATTGTATTGGGATAAAACATTCTCATTTTTCTTGAAGTGATCAATGTGGTCAACATTACCTTTGTTAATCTTGAGCAGAGGAGCCTTAAAGTTCAATTGAACGTGCTCCTTTAAAACTCGAGTTAAAGTAGAGTTGCATATAGAACTTGCAAATTGAGCGAGTGAATCAGAAGTACCATTCATAACCATATCCTCATCCCTAAGATATGACATAGATTGTTGAACAGAGTTGCTTGGGTGACTTAAGGCAACAATAATTTACGTGTTATGGTTTGGTGATGTGACACGGAGTTCATTCTTGTGATCATAAGAATGTAGTTGAAGTTTAAAGAAAATTGATGGCGAGGAATAATAATATTTGGGGTACTTCACGATGTGATAGCTAGGCAACAAGAAAAAAGAGCAGATATTAATGTAAGTGGTTTGGGCTTGCAACCTATTTATAGTATATGTTGTGAGCTCAATAAATTTCGTTCTTGAAATGAAAGCGGCAGAAGTTTCTCTCTCTCAATACATGGTATTTTCAGAGGATTGATTGTAGTTGTAATTATAGTTTTGGATATAAGTGTCGATGTACTTTAAGAGGCCTGATTATTGCTATTTATAGTAGTGTCTGTTTGTCTAAGATTGAGTCGGAGATTCATTGAACTCTATAATGGGATTTATTGTTAAGGCTCATTGTTCGTCTACGGATATTTGAATTAATTTATTCATTTCAACATATGTTCAGCTCACTCTAGATCATACAACACAAATAAGAGGGGGAATGAATTGGAACTCTGGTTATTACATGTACTTATAAAAATGAGTGAAATTATAATTTTGATTTATAAGAAAATATGTAGATTTATAAAAAAATATAAATGAACAAAAAGTATGAACATAACACAATTTTTATGAGGATCAATCCCTGCCTATGTTCTTGCTTAGACTTTCACTGTTTGGTTTCCATTAATTCTATCACTCTAAGATTCCCACTTTTTGAATACCATACAAGAAAAGATAAGAGGAAAAGAAAGATCCAACTATTTGATCTTAATTAGGATATAATGAAGAAGTACTAAAATTTAAAACTCTAAGAGCGGTCTTATAAATTTGATGATCGT